GCTTTGTTCACAATTATTTTTTGTCTCCTTTTCACTGAATAAATAATATTTATTACTTTTTTCAGAGAACGAGGTTAAAAACTTCGTTTAAAAACGAAGTTTTAAACTAAACTTTTAACCGTAGAATTCGATTTTGGGGTGAAAAAGGCTTAAAACCTCATATTTTAATTTTTTTTTCGATCGCTCACGCGATCTCATATATACTGAAGTCGCCTACAGCGACACTATAGTTTAGCGCGTTTATCTGGGGACCGGTAAAGTAAAGTCCTTCCGAGAAACAATTAACATTTATGACGTCACAATATTCCGACGTCAATCCTCGACACCATAGTCCAAAACCAATAATTTAGGATGAGTCATCGAATACCATTTGACTGATTTTACTTAATGTTTGCACTCACTTGAGTTATTAGGATTAGTCCTTGCACACCACTTGGCTGATAAGGGTTAGTCCTTGTGCACAATTACACCAGTCTGATTATAGAATAGGTTGCACCCACCCAAGACATCAATGGTTAAACTTTGTACACTATTCGATTGAATAGTTTAATTAATCTCGTACCCCAAAGGAGGTTTGACTGATTAGGGTTAGTTTCTCTCCCATCCAGGATGTTACAGACTTTTTGACTGATTAGGGTTAGCCTCGCACCCATCCAAGAGATTAGGGGTCAGCTTCGCACCCATCCGAAAGATTAGGGTTAGCATTGCACCCATTCGAGAGATTAGGGTTAGCCTCGCATCCATCCGAGAGATCAGGGTTAGCCTCGCACCCATCCGAGAGGAAAGGGTTAGCCTCGCAACCACTTAAGAAATTATGGCTAGTACAATATTTTTTACTGCGTTTTTAGTGAACCATATTACTTTGGCATTTAAATACTTAAATTCATTTAATTTATTTTAAACTAGAAAAACTAAGACGTCATAAACAATAATTATTTTTCTGCGCCATCGGGCTTTGGCGTGTGAACCATCGGGGTTTGGCGCAGACCATCGGACTTTGGCGTGACCATCGATCGGGCGTTGGAGTCCCATCGCACTTTGGAGTCCTACAAATGTGATTTGAAATTTTCTTAAAAGTTCGTAGGAGTTAAATTTAAATTTTAAAAATCCACAATAATTTGATTTACACTACATCTTGAATATGTAGCACAGTACGTCTGAAGTATCTCTTTCGCAGAAATTAAATATTTTTAATTGCGAGAAATAAAAAAGAGGCTTGGTAGAGTATTTGCTCAAACCTGCATGTATCTTTGTTTGTAAGGACTTTTATGAAGTTTACATATAGTATAAGAGGCCAATGGGCAACAACGCTCACCTAAGTAACTTTGGCCCTGCTGTTATTCACCAGATTTCCTCCCTTGTAATACTTATTGTGACCCCAACCTCCTCCCGGGTGTCATGTTTTGAACAATTTAGAATCTACAATAACTTAGGAAGCTTCCACATAAGTTTCAACTTTTGATGCTTTCACATAGGGTTTTAAAGCTTTTCTGGTCCAGTGGTCCTTGAGAAGATTTTTAAAGATTTTTCCTATATATTTCAATGTAAAACTTTGATTCCCTATTGTGGCTCCCCCCTCCCCCCAGGGGGCCATGCTTTGAACAATTTAGAATCTACTCTACCCAAGGATGCATTCACATAAGTTTCAGCTTTCCTGGCTCAGTTGTTCTTGAGAAGATTTTCCGATATATTTCAATGTAAAACTTTGATTTTCTAATGTGGCCCACTCTTGAGAAGATTTTTTCATATATATATTTCAATGTAAAACTTTGATTCCCTATTGTGTCCCCACTGCACCCCGGGGGCCAATTTAAACAACTTTGAATCTACACTACCTGAGGATGCTTTTACATATAAGTTTCAGCTTTTCTGTCCCAATGGTTCTTGAATAGAATACCTATATATTTCAATGTAAAACTTTGATTCCCTTACCCCGGGGCCATGATTTGAACAATTTAGAATATACACTACTCCAGGATGCTTACATACAAGTTCCATTTTTTCTGGCCCAGTGGTTCTTGAAAAGAAGATTTAAAAAGTTTTTTTCTCATCTGGAAAATGTAGGTGAGATACAGCATATGAAGCATGTTTGGTAGTATAAATCCCTAGATGCATTATCCATGCAAGTTTGATGACCAAAAAATTATAGTTACTTTGAAACAGACCTGCTCCTAAACCTTCAACTTGGTCAATCATCTCCAGTATCCAAAGCAAATCAAGCAACGTGTTCCCTAGATGCATCATTCATGTAAGATTAAGCCAAGTAGGGCTTTTATTTACGTAGGAATGGACTGGCTCCTAAAACTTAAGTTTATCTGAGATGGCATGCAGACATTGACACCTAATTTATGCTGATGTCAGAGGTATAGCTTTAGCTCATCTCAACATCGCAGAGTTGAGCTAAAAATACAGAATTTCAGATACTGTGAAATCACTAATTTTATGGGGGTTTAATATTCACTGTTTCAAGGTATGAAGGGACCCATGAATTCATGTCCACTAGTTGTGAACAATTCTTCCCCACCCTACCCCTGGGGGTCATGATTTGAACAATTTACAAGAGGCCCAAGGGCCTTGAATCGCTCTACAACTGTACAACCTATCACTTCTATTTGAAGCCTCTAAGTATCCTGTATATTTAGATAAAGCCTTGAAATTCCAAAGGTAGGTCATTATGACCTATATTTTAGATGAAACACTCTGAGAACCCAAGATGATTCTAAGCCAATTAGTACCTGAGAGTAGGTCATGGTGTCTAACTTATCATTTGTCATTCTATTGAGGACCCATGATGCATCAACTAAGTTTGATGATTCTAAGCCAATTAATACCTAAAATATTTTTAAAATTATAACCATAAAATTTCAAAAGTAGGTCACGGTGACCTACTTCTCAGATGTCGTACTCCAAGGACCCAAGATGCAACAACTGACAAAGTTTGATGATTCTAAGCCAATTAGTACCCGAAATATTTAATTAAAGCCATAAATTTTCAAAAGTAGGTCACGGTGACCTACTTTTCAGTCGACCTACCCTGAAGGCCCAAGATGCTCAACTGACAAAGTTTGATGATTCTAAGCCAATTAGTACCTGAAATATTTAATTATAGTCATATAAATTGAAAAGTAGGTCATGGTGATCTACTTTTCGGTTGATGTTTTTTAAGGACCCAAGATTCATCAACTTACAAAGTTTTATGATCATAGGCCTTAAAATATCCAAATTATGCCTCTCAAACGCATTGAAATCGAATCCCTGCAAAGTTCAAAAAGTAGGTCACTGTGACCTACTTTTTAATAAATATGTTTTATGGCCCCAAGATACATCATCTTACAAGATTTAATGATTCTAAACCTCTCAGTATTCGAATTAATGACCTTAATTGTTTTGAAAAAGATTAGCTATAAAATTCAAAAAGTAGGTCAAGGTGACCTAGTTTTAAGTCGACATACTTTGAGGACCCAAGATACATCAACTGACAAAGTTTGATGATCATAGGCCTTAAATTGTTCAAAATATGCCTCTAAATCATTTTGAAAAATAATGGTCGCAAAATTTAAAAAGTAGGTCACCATGACTACTTTTGATTCAACATGATACGAGATCCTTAGATGCATCAACTGACAGATTTGATGATCCTAGTCCTTATAGTAAACAAAATATCAACATTTTAATAAAATGTAATTTTTGGTCAACTTTGAAGTGATTTTGAGACCAGGGTGATGTCTTGTATAATTTTTAATCTACAACATATCCTCATCCTTTTGTGTAGGTTTGGTGATAATCTGCCCAGTGGTTCTTGAGAAGATTTTTTAGCAACCAGTACTTTTGTTTCTATTTTCCTAATTATCTCCCCTTGTTTAAGGGTCACAACCCTAGTTTTTGTATAAATGGGAGCCCTTGGGCCAAGGATACACTGTGACAAATTTGACAATAATTGGCCAAGGGGTTCTTGAGTTATGGCCCATATTCTAAAAAGTTTATGCACACCGCACAAATGGCCATAGCATTAGCTCTTTGAGCCTTTGGCTCAGAAGAGCTAAAAATCTACACTATCAAAGAAAGCTTCCACATAAGTATCAGCTTCTCTGGCCAAGTGATTCTGGTGAAGAAGAATTTTCCTCTATATTTCAATGTAAAACTTAAGATTCCCCATTGTGGCTGCACCCTACCCCTGAGGGTCATGATTTGAACATTTTAAAATCTACACTACCTCAGGATGCTTCCATATTAGTTTCAGCTTTTCTGGCCCACTGGTTCTAGAGAAAAGTTTCAAAGATTTTTCCTATATATTTCAAATGAAAATTTTGATTCCCCATTGTGGTCTCACCCTACACTCAGAGGCCATGATTTGAACATTTTAAAATCTACACTACCCCAAGATGCTTCCAAATAAAGTTCAGCTTTTCTGGCCCAGTGGTTCTTGAGAAGAAGATTTTTAAATATTTTTCCATTATATTTCAATGTAAAACTTTGATTCCCAATTATGGCCCCATCCTACCCCTAGGGGCCATGATTTGTACAATATAGAATTTACACTATCCCAGGAAGCTTCCTTATAAGTCTCTGCTTTTCTGGCCCCGTTTTAAGAAGATTTTTTATAGACCCCACACTATTTTTGTCTTTTCTTGATTATCTCCTCTTGTAAGGGGGTTTGGCCCTTCATTTTAACAATTTTAACTCCCCTTCATCCAAGTATGCTTTGTACCAACTTTGGTTAAAATTGGCCAAGTGGTTCTTGAGAAGAAGTTGAAAATGTGAAAAGTTAACAGAGGGATGGACAGATGGATGGACCATGGATAACAGGTGATCAGAAAAGCTGACTTGAGCTTTCAACTCAGCTGAGATAAAAATAGGTATAAATGGAAAAAATAGGCTAGTGGAAAATTGATAAACAGAAAAATACATCTTTGATTAATGTTTCATGTTTTGCTAATTCTAGTTCTAAGTAATGGTTATCGGATATAAACTAGGAAGCATAATTCCTTTACAAGGGTAAATAAAATTGTGAAAAACTTTTAATAAGAAACAGTACAATAACAAAGCAATTTATTTACTGACAACAGTTGCAAAGTTGACTGAAAATAATCTATGACTCCAGAATGTAATTGCAATGACTATCTTGTTCCTGTTGAAGCATCACCAATGCCATTCACTAGACGTTTGAAGATGTCCTAACCAGAAGAGAGTTCTATATATTTCTTTTCTATCATCTGGGCTCCAGAAATCATAAGGATATGTGTACTGGATTGAGGCACCTTTATCTTTCACTGAACATCCTTTCTGAATGAGGTCGATGTGGTCCTCTGTCAACTCCAGGTAGGTAAAAATAAGCTGAAAGAATGCAAGAGATACATGTAACTGAAATACAACAAAGGAGACTTGTAATCTACGAACATTTACAATGGCTATTTAAAGCTTTGAGCCATTTAGTGTATTTCCAGGGCTACTTTTAGAATACACATGCCAGAAATATCTGTATGTTTTCTCCAGCACTTATCTTTGTGTCAAGCAGTGACAATTTATTACTGTCTTCCTTGGAAGACGGTATACAGAGTTGAAGTATTTTACAGTCTTCGGACTATGCACTTCCTCTCTTTTGTGATTGGTAGAAATTGCATGATGAGAAAATTTTCAATTTTTTCATTGGTTGAAAAGCTGTTCAATGCAAGGGAGATAATTTTCTGATGATCTAATTTTCGTACGACTTAACAATTTTTCAAGATTTTCAATCATAAAAAAATTATGAAAAAACGAACAAGGAAATTGGCAGTAATTAATTTGAAATAACATGCTAGTTTTCTTTTTATAGCAATTACCAAAAAAACGTTTCTATATTTTCATTGTTAACAGAATTGATCTTTATTGCATGCAAGCTTTACAGCTTGTATGTATTTCTTTTTTTCTTTTGTTTTGCACTGTCTTTCTGCAGCACTCGGCACACCTGGGCCAATCTAGACGGAGTCAACCGAGGTTTGCCGAATGATCTCGGCAGCGGAGTCAAAGTTTACGGAAACAGCCGAGCATCTGTTAACCTTTCACTTGGTAGAGCTTATGTCAGAAAAAAAAAAACTACTAAAGAAATACAAAGCCAAGAAATTTTCAAGAATTATATGGCCTGATAGGTTTACATGTGGGTCACTTTACTGTTTAAGGTTGTTGCTAAAGACGGTAAGCTTTTTGAAAAAGCTTTACTTGTTACAAAGTTTAGAAGCAGCTGCCAGGTCTTCCCACAATGCAAATGGCTATGCCAAGTGATCTGAATTGTAAATTCTCAAATGCACAATATCACACAATATACAATGCAATACAAATGTACAATGGGTCAATATCCCATCAGCAATGTTATCAATGTCAAATCAATACACTTACATTCAAATTAACAAATTCCAAAACAGTATGTCAAACTTGGTTTTTCATCTAGGCCAGGCAAGTGACAATCTAGAGAATGTTTTTTTTTTTAGAACATGCTCCTGATTAAGTTTAATTGTGAATGTCATGCCACAAAGAATTTTTTATGCTTAAAAAAGAAATCTGACATTGAGTCCAAAACATTAATTAGGATTTTTTCTCAAAATTTAGTATTTTTGCCCCTGAGATCATGTTTCAATGCATATGGTAAATAGCTGACCTTTAATTAAAGATGACATTAATTTTCATGTGCATTTAAACAAAGCCTCCTTGCAAATTTGAAAGAATATGATATGGGCAAAAAAAAAAACCAAAACAAAACAAAAGAAATTTGATAATCTAACTCTTGAAAAAATGGATATTTTTCAATGTTGAGTCACCCCCCCCCCCCCCTCCCCCAAAACCAAACAAAAAAATTTTAATGTCAATTTTTTGAACCCCCCTCCCCCAATCAAACAAGACACCACGAAGTTCTCCATATTGCTCCTTTACAAACTTATCACCTGTACTCTTGTGGATACAGACCTTTGTTCTCAGGCATATGATTCCTAGTATGCCTGGGTAGAAGACTGAATTGGCAACTTCAAGTAGAATTCTCCTCCATGCTGACCCAAAATGTGTTCAGGCAAACTATGAATGCTGAAATCTTTAGAATTGGATCCTTCTTCTTCACAGGAAGTGCTGGCCTGTACAATATAATTTATTAATCATTACTCATAGCTGTGTTTGTCAGTTACATTTTGTAACACATTTGTAGCAAAGATATAATTTGTCTATTAGATTTTTAGACAAATAGCAGAAAATTTCAATAAGATAGAATTCTGATAGAAAATGTTAGATTTGGATCTACACGTATCATGTGTATCTTGAAAGCTTTTATGGTTGTCTTTGCATGCCCATAATTTTTTTCCTTCCATGTTTAGAAATGTTAGATAAAAAACAGATTCTGGATATTTCTGCCTAATTGACGGGTGTTATATAATTTGATTTAGGAGTTAAAAATGGACCTTAAATTAACTCATGCTTTTCTTTATCAAATCTGTGTGTACCTCATCTGACATCCTCAACAAAGTTATCAATTGTGGTCCAGGACACTCTTCAAAGCGAAGGTCTGGGGCACTAACCACATCTTGCTTTCCAATCTTCATCTGTGTAGTCTTTGATTTTCCAAGTCTGAAAATTGTTAAAAATAAATGCTGACAAAAGATTGTGGCCCATGGTCACTGCAGCTCACCTGATAATGTAAATGTATTAGCCCCATTCAACTTGCTTCTTATCCACAAATTCAGGTGGACTACTAAACACTTAAAGATATTTTAAACCAATGCATGTGACAGTCATTTTTAAACTCAACTAATTAAAAATAATTAATGATTGTTCTTAATTTTGGGTATGCTATATCTTTGTTTACAGCAATCATATCAAAATTAACCTTCAAGTTATTCTTTTACCTATAATTGACACTTTTTTGCTTATTATGCCCCTGTAATCGAAGATTCAGGGGCATATAGTTTTTGCCCTGTCCGTCCATCTGTCTGTTTGTCCGCAAAAACTTTAACCTTGCCCATAACTTTTGATTGGTTGAAGCTATGGCTTTCATATTTCACACGTGTATTCCTTGTGACAAGACCTTTCTTTGGGTACCATAAAATTTCACATTTTGACATTGACCTTGGAGTTTGACCCACTTTTGCAAAATTTTCTCAGACTTTAACCTTGGCCATAATTTTTGAATAGTTGAGACTAGGGCTTTCAAACTTCACATGTGTATACCTTGTGACAAGACCTTCCTTCAGATACCAACAACTTTGACCCTTTGACCTTAGATTTTGACCTACTTTTGATAAACTTTAACCTTGGCTATAACTTTTGAACGGTTAGTGCTACAGCTTTCATACTTAACATGTGTAATCCTTGTAATAAGACCTTCCTTTGGATACCACAAAACCTTGACACTTTGACCTTGACCTTGGAGTTTGACCTACTTTTGAAAAACTTTAACCTTGGTCATAACTTTTGAACGGTTAGTGCTAGGGCTTTCATACTTCACATATATAATCCTTGCGACAAGGCCTTCCTTTGGATACCAACAACATTGACCCTTTGACCTTGGAGTTTGACCTACTCTTGGAAAACTTTAACCTTGGTCATTACTTTTGAATAATTGGTGCTAGTGCTTTCATATGTAATCCTTGTGACAAGATCTTACTTTGGATATCAACAACTTTGATCCTTTGACCTTGGAATTTGACCTACTTTTGAAAGACTTTAACCTTGGCCATAACTTTTGAACGATTTGTGCTACCACTTTCATATTTTACATGTGTATTTCTTGTGAGAAGGCCTTTCCTTGTGACTGCTCGATCATGTAATTTGCAGCATGGGCAGTACGTGCCACACGGTTTCAGGTGTGCATTAAAATTGGATAGGACTACATTAAAAAATAACGAACACTGAAACCTAATTTTATTTCTTTTATGGAAGTAATTCAATTAGTTCACGAACTTTATGATCACCCCTCGTTTGTAAAAATTGCTCATCAAATTGCATCTCCTTGAGAGACTTTTTACTCAAAGTTGTAAAAGTTTTGGTGCTATATAAAGCAAATGAGCTGTGACCTTACAGTTAATTGTTAAATGAAACTATAAAAGAGGTCAATACTGGTTGACAAGATAATTGATTGGTAACAATTCAGCACAATGTGAAGCAATCCATGCCTCAAAACACACAGTGTGATGTACAGTTATCCAAACAAAGGAAATACATTTTTTGCTTAAAATTTATTCAGTGGTGCAATGTTGGAACAATATATCTTTGGCTTGGGTTGCTTTTTTGATAGTCCATAGTACATACACAGGCACTTGTTTCGGTAATAAATTTTTAACCCATAGTATAATAATAACACAAGGTATCCAACTCCGAATTACACGGAGTACCCCCTTCCCCCAGAATCGCACTCATTTACACTTTCAGAGGAAATACACTGACAAACTGTTTATACCTATGTTTTCAACGATAATTTATCTATACAACCATATATGGCATGCTTGTCTTTATTTTCCTTAGTCTCCGTAAACAGCGTCAAAACTCTGCTCGTCGAGTGGAAAAGTCGAATTCAACCATGAAATGGTATGTGCTAATCCCGCACAGAGATTTTGATTGGCTAAAAATCTGTTTCTAAAATTACATCGGATAAACATCTTAATGTTTTCAGGGAAAATCAGACGTAAACAAGTTCTATTTACTCATGCAATATTTAAACACTGGAATTGAATTTTTAAACCCAGTCATTTTTTAATTTTGTTCTCTGTGTGGGATTAGCACAACCCATTTCATGGTTGAATTCGACCTTTTCACTCGACGAGCAGAGTTTTTACGCTGTTTACGGAGACTAAAGAAAATAAAGACAAGCATGCCATATATGGTTGTATAGATAAATTATTGTAGAAAACATAGGTATAAACAGTTTGTCAGTGTATTTCCTCTGAAAGTGTAAATGAGTGCGATTCTGGGGGAAGGGGGTACTCCGTGTAATTCGGAGTTGGATACCTTGTGTTATTATTATACTATGGGTTAAAAAAATTATTACCGAAACAAGTGCCTGTGAGTACATAATATGAATAGTCAAATACTTGAAACTATTTATCTATTTCTTACAAAAAAAAATTTTGTGAAAAACTGCATATAAATATCTTAAGGCCATTCCAAATTTTTTCTTTGTTTAGCATCCACCCTAAATTCGAAAACCTATCTTTCTATCCGGGAAAAACACACAAACCAAAAGGGAAGAAACACAACATTTTAAAAACAATTTCAGAATTTGTCATCATCATTTGAAAATTCTCCTCGCATTGCAATTAAGTTCAACTACTACTTCATTGAAATAAAAAAAAAATGATACACCACTAAACAAAAAGAGAGACACTTATCCCCAAATAGTAAATTGTGTTTCAAGGATTTGTATTTGTTGATTTTAATTTGTATTTTGTTTTTAAATTCATAATCTCAAAACCAATCTGTCCGCAGACCCTAAACATTGAAAAAACTTGGAATGGCCTAATCAAGCTATTCTGAATAGCTTCAAGAGATTATGCTGGACCTGGTCAAGAACAGGTAAATAAAAGAAATTCATATTTCACAATCACTGTGTGACAGCATTTTTACCTTAACTTCAACTTACTGAGGTAACAGAAAGAAAATACGCAGAAAATCCATGACGAGCTGTATATACGCAATCTCTGGGACAGGACCATCGCCTCGTGCTACCACAAACCTTCCTAGACTGGACAAGTAGTCCTGAACTTTTAGATGCAACACATTTAATAGTCTGCAAAATGAATTTAAGATAGTTCATACATGGTGCATAATCGACATATTGCAAATAATGTCAATTTTTTTCACAAGGGACAAGTTAATTTTTGGGATAAAAAGAATTGTCGGGTAGACTTTACTTTACCGGTCCCCAGATCCGCAAGATCCGCGTGCTCATTGCAATATGACGTAAGATTTACGTCACTCAACTGATTAGGGTTGATTTTGCACATTTTTTCGACTGGTTAGGGTTAGTCTTGCACCCACCTGAAAAATTAGGGTTAGTCCTTGCATAAGTTTTCGACTGAATAGGGTTAGTCTCGCACATGGGTTAGTCTAGCATGGTTTAGCATTCGCCTTGGAGATGTGGGTTAGTCCTCGCATACCATCCGAGAGATTAGGGTCAGTGTCTTGTTCTTTTAGATTATTAAGATATTCAGTTGCATCTGTATTTTTTGCAAGATCTTTATTCAGCTTCAACGACATCTCGTTGGTTTGTTTACATGAAAAAAATGGCTAAGTACGAAAGAAACGGCACTAAGCATGCGCCACATGTGCTTCGTTCACAATTATTTTTTGTCTCCTTTTCACTGAATAAATAATATTTATTACTTTTTTTTCAGAGAACGAGGTTAAAAACTTCGTTTAAAAACGAAGTTTTAAACTAAACTTTTAACCGTAGAATTCGATTTTGGGGTCAAAAAGGCTTAAAACCTCATATTTTTAATTTTTTTTGATCGCTCACACGATCTCATATATACTGAAGTCGCCTACGGCGACACTATAATTTAGCACGTTTTTCTGGGGACCGGTAAAGTAAAGTCGTTCCGAATTGTCCATATATAGGTGCATGTGACTTCAACCAATGTAAATGTAAACGTTTGTGTATCTTATTATTCTTTTTTATAGGCTCTATTCTAGTTGAAACAAACTTGTCGAGCTGTAAACAATTAAAACTTACCGTTTCTCTTTCTCGCCAAAATTAGTTTGTTTTTCAAGCTTTGTCAAGTCTTCCCACAATTTCTGACGATTTTCATTAATATACTGTAAAATATTCCATAACATTTTGTCGCGGCATGTGCCTCTTCAAATTGTCATGTGGTATAGATAATTTGAAATGATCTCTCAAAAATTTTTCCAGTGTTAACAAGCATCCTGAAACCTGTGTTATTCCTCGTGAATTATGTGTCAAGCCTGATTTTTTGGCAAGCTCTTCAAGCCGAAGGAGAGGAATAGCAGATTCTCTGTAATGGATTCCTAACTTATTTAAATCTACCTGAGTCCACTTTGAAACGTCTCTATGCACTTCAGTAATATATTTATTTTCCTTCAAATTTTGAGTAGATGTATCTGAAGACGACGGGCTACAAATGCCCTCTTCAGATAATGACATCATCTTCATGCAACATTAATCAGGTAAAACCAACAAGTGAACAACTACCTTGATAAAATTTCCGCCAAATTTCTTAGTTACTTAGACTCTTTGAATGTCTCCATTTAGTATATTACACTCAAACATCTTATTGATTAAGATTATACGGGATTTTTTTTTCTTTATTCGACAAACCTCGGTAGATTCCGATTACTAGTACAAATAATCCGAGAAATTCCGATGGGATGTATTGCTTGATTTCGACGGATGCATCATTGTATGATCGGATGAGCAAGACTTCTAATTTCCAAAGTACTATTGTTTTAAAAGGCAGAAAGATTTTTAATATAAAGAGAAACTGAAAGACACATCTATCTGATAATTGTAAGTATTTGTTTTGTGTCTGTGCAAACAGTGAGACTTTGCAATATTGGCCTTGTGCCACAAATAAACATGAATACCTACAAACAAAAAGAAAATACTCAATAAAACGATTAAAAAACCATGTAACATCTTAAATTTGGGTACTAACATGTAAGAAGCATTGAATTTAAGCCGGTATCTTTACAATTTTACTTCCAATTCGGTATATTCATTTTGAAAAACGAAAGAAAGTTGGCCGCCATTTTGTAGGGGCAGGCGATAAATCTAGTACTCAGACTTTACGATACAGAACTCTCCCGGAAGAATATTTTTTTAGCTCCACTAGTCAGACTAGAAGACCTTATGCGATAGTCAGGTGTCTGTCGGTCGTTCGTCTGCCTGTTTGTCTTTTTGTTACCTTTTTTTTTTTAAATGCTACTCCTGCTACAGTCTTGGTTATATAAATTGTAGCTGCAAGCGATCTGTAGCTTACTGGTCTGGAAAAATTTGGGTTGGACAAGAGTTACAGTGCCATCCATTGAAAAAAGTGTATATTTATTGCGCACAAAAAATATGCTGATCCTCGATTTATTTCTATGTATATTAAACAGGTCCGGCACAATCTCTTGATTTAGCTATATAGCTTGATTTAGCTATATAGCTTTATTAAGCTATTCAGAATAGATTGATTTAGCTATTTTATCACACATTTTTCTTAAATGTGTTATTTTCTCAGCATGCTCAAAAAGTCGCACTTTGGTGCAGTGATAATATTAAACCTTGAACTCTTCTGAAAATCATGAAAATAGTGCATGTAAAAACCACTCATCAAATTGCGTCTCCTAAAGAGACTTTGTACTCAAAGTTCTAAATGTTTCTGGGCCATATAAAGCAATTGATACAGTTACTTCTTCATTGAAAGTATAAAAGAGGCCAATTGTGGTCAACAAGATAATTGATTGGTAATAATTCAGTACAATGAGAAGCAATCATACTTATATATATCCACGCCTCAACGCACACAAGGTGGTGTACAGTTACTCAAGCAATGGAATTCATCTTTTGCATAAAAGTATTCAAATGCTGCGATGGTAGAACTATCTTTGATTTCGGTTGTTGTTTTGATAGCCCATAGTACATATATGAATATAGTCAAATACTTACGACTTTTTGTCTATTTCTTACAAAAAACATTTTTCTGAAAAACTGCACATAATCAGCTTTATCAAGATATTTTGAATAACTTGATAAAGCTATATAGCTTTTTTAAGCTATATAGCTAAATCAAGAGATTGTGCTGGACCTGTTAAACTGCCATCTCAAAATATATTACTAACCATGTGTTGCTAACCTATTATTTCACTTTTCATATGCCCGTCTGAAGACAGGACATATTATGTTATGGCATTGATGTCCATCCATCTGTCTGTCTGTTAGTTTTTTGTGTCCGTCTCATAACTTAAATACTATGAGGCCTAGAATTCTCAAACTTTGTCAGCATAGTAAACGTAATTTCTTTTGAGACATTTATGCATATGGAAATTACATTAACCTAGAAAATGAGTCTAAAACATTGAAGAAATTCTGTGCATCGATAATAAAGATATCAACATGATCGATGAAAAAACGAAATCCTGGACAGTTTGAAGTACTAGATTTACTGCTTTCCCCAACTGTGTTTTAATTCTTTCTGTCGAAATTTTTACATTTTTAGCTTGTCTTTATCTGTTCTTTACGTTTTCTACCTAATTCTCAGTCTGTCAATATATTTTATGTCCCCCTTCAAAGAAGGGAGGGCATATTGCTTTCCTGCTGTCTGTCGCTCCACCAACAGTTTCCATTCATTTTCTTCACACAGGTTACACATACTGAAAGGAAATTTAATATACCAGTCTATTATAAGAATATCTAGGTCAAGTTTTGTTTTGGGTACGATCAAACAATTTTTGAGTCATGTCCCTTGGACATGGAAAAATTCCAATTATTTGCAGTTTCCGTTCATTTTCTTCGCAGAGGTTGCACATAGTGAAAGGAAATTTGGTATACAAATTTATCATAAGAATATCTAGGTCAAGTTCTGTTTTGGGTATAATCAAGCAATTTTTGACAGAGTTATGCCCCTTGGGCTTTGGGGGGGGGGGGGGGGGGGGGGCTAAGTGTTTCACAAACATCTCTTGTTTTTCTAGAGAGGTACAGAATTGTCTGCAGCTATAAAACTTGGTACACTAATGTCAATTTTTTGATTTCAATGAACAGGGTTGCCATGGTTCATATAAATAGAAATTTTTGCAAAATTCTTTCAAAACCCTGTATATCCTACAGTTTTTGTACAATTTAATTTAAACTGAGTACACAAGTAGACTACACTAAGAAACATAATTCTTTACATTGCAATGACAGTGATTTTTTTGGGGGTCAAAATGCCACCGATATTCGGCTGTTTCCCCTCACAAAAATTAGCTATTTTTTCCCAGTTATTAGTGTATTTTTCCCAATTTCAAATATACAAAAATTATGTTTTAATTTTGAACAAAAGTCACTAAATTTGCTGACAGAGTAAATTATATACGTTTTTATTCTTCAAATCCATGCATATGCAGCCGATTTTTTTAATGAATGTGTAAAACAATGCAGATATCCATATAAGCAGATAAGTAGCTTATAAAAATCCTAAATGATTTGGTAAGTAGTTCCCAGATACAAGTCATATTGCATGTTGACATAATGATTTTGGTTTGACCGCCATTATTACAAAGAGGGTCAGGCTAATATCAGGAAATAGACAACACATAGGGTTTCACTAAAATCGGGAAAAACAAACAGTAAAGACTGTAAACTTGGGGTCTAAACTTGATTATTAATATAAGACAGTTTACTAGATTATGAGTCTAAATGCTGGTTATTTTTTTTTTTTATGAAATTAGTCAAAGCAATTCCAAGAAAATAGAAGCTACAAGATGTGACTAATATAGGCCAAGTTCACATTCAATAAAATATTGATGTTAATTTTTTTAAATTATTATTTTATGGATTTAAATCAAATTCGAAGTTAAAATCAAACAAAAACTGTTGTTACTTAGTTTGATTATTTTATGTATTTTAAGCATTCTAATTTACCATAAATGATTTTTCCCAATTTGAGGAAAATGTCGCTAATTTTTCCCAATTCAAAAGGAGGGGGTGTTGGTTTAAAAAACAAAAAAAAAATCACTGAATGAGTGGGGTTGCCATTGTTATCAAAAATGGGACTTTCGGTGAAATTCTTTTAAAATACTACTCCTTGTACACTTTTGTTCCAGTTTCAGTGAACTTTACAGTGTACGTACTGTCAAACCTCATGATCTCAAACTCGAGGGGACCAAGAAAAAAACTTTGAGATATCTGCATGAGGATTCGAGATATAGAGCCTGAGAGTAAAATACTAAAAGAATAAGTAGTTGGGACTTTCAAATCACCTTGACATATCCAGGTATTCAAGATATCAGTGTTCGAGATACTGAAGTTTAACCATTTTTAGCTCACCTGAGCCAAAGGCTCAAGTGAGCTTTTCTGATCAAAATTTGTCCGTTGTCTGTCGTCATTGGCGTTGTCGTCGTCGTGGTTGGCGTAAACTTTTCACAATTTCAACTTCTTCTCCAGAACTACTGGGCCAATTTCAACCAAACTTCGCACAGAGTATCCTTGGGTGAAGGGGATTCAAATTTGTTCAAATGAAGGGCTACGCCCTCTTTCAAGGGGAGATAATTAGGAATTAGTGAAAAAATAATGGCATCATTTAAAAATCTTCTTCTCAAGAACCACTGGGCCTGGAAAGATGAAACTTATGTGGAAACATCCTCAGGTAGTGTAGATTCAAGTTTGTTCAAATCATGACCCCCGGGGGTAGGGTGGGTCCACAATGGGGGATCCAAGTTTTACATAGAACTATATAGTAAAATATCTTTAAAAATCTTCTTCTTAAGAACAGTAAAGCCAAGATTGGTCATATTTATATGGAAGCATCCTCAGGTAGTGTAGATTCAAGTTTGTTCAAATCATGACCCCCGGGGGTAGGGTGGGGCCACAATGGGGGATCCAAGTTTTACATAGAAATATATAGGAAAATATCTTTAAAAATCTTCTTCTTAAGAACAGCAAAGCCATGATTGGTCATATTTTTATGGAAGCATCCTCAGGTAGTGAAGATTCAAGTTTGTTCAAATCATAACCCCGGGGGTAGGGTGGGGCCACAATGGGGGATCCAAATTTTACATAGAAATATATAGGAAAATATCTCTAAAAATCTTCTTCTTAAAAACAGTAAAGCCATGATTGGTCATATTTATATGGAAGCATCCTCAGGTAGTGAAGATTCAAGTTTGTTCAAATCATGACCCCCGGGGGTAGGTTGGGGCCACAATGGGGGATCAAAGTTTTACATAGAAATAAATAGGAAAATATCTCTAAAAATCTTCTTCTTAAAAACAGTAAAGCCATGATTGGTCATATTTATATGGAAGCTTCCTCAGATAGTGAAGATTCAAATTTGTTCAAATCATAACCCCCAGGGGTAGGATGAGGCCACAATGAGGGATCCAAGTTTTACATAGATATATATAGGAAAATATATCTCTAAAATCTTCTTCTTAAAAACAGTAAAGCCATGATTGGTCATATTTATATGGAAGCATCCTCAGATAGTGAAGCTTCAAGTTTGTTCAAATCATGATTCCCGGGGGTAGGGTGGGGCCACAATGGGGGATCAAAGTTTTACATAGAAATATATAGGAAAATATCTCTAAAAATCTTCTTCTTAAAAACAGTAAAGCCATGATTGGTCATATTTATATGGAAGCATCCTCAGGTAGTGAAGATTCAAATTTGTTCAAATCATAACCCCCAGGGGTAGGATGGGGCCACAATGAGGGATCCAAGTTTTACATAGAAATATATAGGAAAATATCTCTAAAAATCTTCTTCTTAAAAACAGCAAAGCCATGATTGGTCATATTTATATGGAAGCATCCTCAGGTAGTGAAGAT